GGTCAGACTCCATTTGAGCAAAACAGAAATCAAGCGGAACATTAGTTTCCTACGTCTACTTGCATAACCATAATCGAAACAGTCCGTGCACCATATTTTCAACCATGGAGAGTTACTAAATTTAACTCCAATGGACTTATCAAAACCGTTTCTCGCTACCATAGCTAGGGGATTATTTTCAGCTTCTGGTTGGCCAAGAGAGATTGTCGAACCCTCTATCTGCGTCTGATGCAGGCCTTGGCTCTGCTTGCTCCTTTCATATACCAAGATCTATATGTACGGCTCTGCTCTGCTTTAGCCCTGTAGAGTGTGCTTTTTACTGAGCACCAGTGCACCACAGGAAAACAAAGCCTGTGAAAGCAAGCTTCACAGGTGCTGCTTCTCCGCAGTGCACCGGTGCTCGGAAAGAAGTGAGCTCAACGGGGCCGCGAGAACAAAAGTATGAATTACACGAAAACTTCGTTCAAATTAAGCGGCTAATGAATACATTGAAAACGTAGCGGGACAGCCCAAGTTTTGAAATTTGTTTGACTTAACCAGAGTTATTAAATCTCCGAGTTTGAATTATCGCGAGCCTACTGTATACTCTAAAGGAGATATGGCTCACTTGATTGTGCTTAATATCACTGAATGGTTATGCAAATTTTAATTTGCTAGTTTTATTTCTCAAGCACTTGTTGTGTTGGGTATTCAAATCAGTGCAAATTTTTACTTTGGTCCAATTTATGGGAGGTTTGTTTTATATATCATGTGCAGTAGAAAGGTGGGGAGCTGGGCTAGGTAGTAAACACGTTGCTTGCTGATGTTAACCATGTATGTCATATACAGCTTGTTGTTATTGTGTATTGATTTCGAATCCTCTTCTGCTCTTTATTTCAGGCTGCTCTTATATGCACCATGAAGATATCCAAGAGGTCTCCAATTGAAGGAGAACTATAAGCACAAGCATGGAGGGGCATCTAGATGGCGAGCGCAAGGACAACTGTAATGTAAAATTTCTCCCAACTTAAAGCGAGGCATGCCTTCTTCCAATAAAGGCATTGTGGCAAAACTTCTTAATTGGTTCGTTTGTTCAGCTGTCATCTCTACGAACAGCTGATCTCACACAAACAAAATCCTGGATATGAGTAGTAGAGATTGTGTGCTATTTTCTTGTTGAACTCTTGTTGTTTTGTGTAAGGATAAAAAATTATACAACTTAGTATATTGCATGACAGAGTCTATGAACTCTCCATACCAATCCATACCTCAAAAGTCTCATGTGACTTCGGCTTGCTTGAACATGGAAGCTGTTTGCACTAAATAACGGAGCACTAGACCTTTCCGTCTTCTTGAAGCCCATAGCTACGAGCCATCCGCAACAATCCTGCACCTCCTATACGTCAGGTGACACCCCTGGCAATGGTATAGCCCTTCCAGGGGAGTCGCCTGATGTATGAGGTGCGGGTGGTACGGATGGCTCGTAACTTTGGCCTTATCTAAGGCCGAAAGGTATAGTGCTTCATTATTTAGTGCCGACAGCTTTCACAATTCCTACGGATAGCCCTCCGTAGTGAGCTACAGACATTCTGTCATTTTACGAAATTATATGCCTTGTTTTTACAGACTGTCCAGTTTCTAGATTACGGGAAATCTTGCCGGCAATATAAAACCAGCAACTTTTACCAATAAAATGGGAAAACGGATAACTGTCTGTTAAGCGGAATATAGACGTTCCGTCATTTTACAAAATTATATGCCTTGTTTTTAACAGACTGTTCGGTTTCTAGATTACGGGAAACCATGCTGGCACTATGGAACCCGCAACTTTTACCCATAAAATTGAGTGAAATTTTTTTGCAGTGCTCCCATACCCCTTGTCCAAGTTGAAGATGGTCGGACATCTCCGATTTTCTCTAAAATGGAGCATCCGTTTCCATTGAAAATAAAGAGTTTCACATTTGATGTCGTAGTACGTCATTCGCATTCTTACGTATTTCAAGAAATTTAAATCCGAAAATGGTTCAACGATAACGGCCACAAAACATTTTGAAAGACGGCTGTAAAACGGTTTCGAAAGGCGGCCGAAAAACGGTTGACGACATCGGTCACGAAACGGTTGGCGATATCGGTCTCAAAACTTTCCCCGTGATCGGTTCAAGTTATTGGACCGATCTGGAGCCGGGGTGCAAATCATTATTGGACCGTTATTTCCTAAAACTTTCACCGATATTTGTCCGTTATTGGTCCAATATTTTTGTGCTGCCTGGGATCCCTGGGTCTGTATGAGGTCATTTTTGTTAGCCTACGAGAGGTGTTAGGCTACTCCAAATAGTGTACTGTATATTGACTTTGAATCTGCCTCTTTGAATTCTGCGCAGTTTAGGCTGTACTCTAATAGCGTAAACGACCTAATCTTCGCGTGGACCTAATGTTCGCAAATATCGCTATTTGATCAAGTTCACAAGAAATTGGTAACGGTAATAACTTGCCCTATGGACATGAATACATGCAATGTCACTCACGGTGGTGAAAGTTTGTGTCCGCGAAATATTCCCGAAACTTGCACATCGCTAAATGTCGAGCTCACAACAATAAAGTCGCTTACAGTACTTGTTAATGATAGCTATGGCCACATGTCCACATTACTGAAACTGCTCAGCATTGTGACAACCAATGATTAATTCAATCAAACCGTTTAGCATCACTGGAATGTTCTGGTTTCGAGTGTTGGTAAATGTGGGACTCCTGTAAAGTTTCATCTTGATATAAATGTGTGTGCCCTCATGAAGAATACTTCGCGATTCTGAATTGTTCAAGTCTGTTTATGATTGACCTCAAAATAAATCATTCTGAAGCACTTTTTGTTGTTGCCTGAAAATACTTCGTAAACACGTAAACAAACGGAAGCAGTATGACAAGAATAGATATCTTAATATTTCACAGCAGTAAAGACAATAATTTTTGCTCTTTTGTGGTGTGAAGCCTCTAATCAGAAGCATTTGTGCCATCAAGTAAAGGAAGCCGCGCGACAGCAAGCTCGGCAAAAAAAGCGCCGGAAACGAAACCGAAACTGAAACCACCGGAACCGGAAATAAGAGTAAGCTTTTCCCATCGACCGTTTGACACGCTAGTTGTTATACGGGTCGGTGGGGCCTGCGGCAGTGTCCGCTCTTTACCTTGTGTAGATTACAAGGTATATGTATAGATGGTAGCGAAGCTTCCATAGAAACCCATAGGCGCAAAAGATGGCGGCTCATGGGGCTCAGCGCCATCTGTAAGTTGCGCGGCATTGTCATTAGTCATGTTCGCCCGTGACGTACAGGAAGTGACGCTTTATTAAAAAGAAACAACGAAACACGATATGATGCATTTTCCTCAAGATTGTGACGTCACAATTGTTTTCGGCGCGAAATTCAAATGATTTTCGGCGGTGGCGCGAAATTTAAAGTTTTTCAGATGTTCTACATGCCTGCTACCGTCCTTCAAACCTTGCTTCACGCCTAATAGCCTTGTTTGTATCAGTCACTCCCATGTAATCCCTCTTCCAAAAGAACCAGTTTTTTATCAGTTCTGGGAACCACCAATAAGTTAGTATCTTCTTCAACTAAGCAGTGTGTTACAGCACGCCTATGAAGGCGTACTTATTGTAACAACGGCTTGTTCGCCAAAAAGACAAAACGGCACAAGCTTGGTTTACACAGTTTATTATATACAAACTTACAACACCACCACTGAACACTTGAAGATAAATATGGCATTAAAAACGAAGTGAAATAAGGTCTGCACAACTCTATGCACGCACTTAATACTCTCAACGGGAGGCACGTTTGCGCATTTATCTTGCACTGTTCACGTTGAGAGCTTGTAACTAGATTCAACTATATCAATTACAGGTGGAGAAGCGGGGCTATGCATGTGTTTTTGCATTTGAATGTCCACATGAATTAATGCTTCAATAGACTGAAAATTGAGATGTTTCGTTATAGCACATGCGCTCGTCACACACATATTGTGCTCCGCAGTTTGGCTATTTATGTGAGGATTAGTACGCAGGAAACTGCCACAAAATGACAGGAAAGAAAGCATTAGAAAAAGGATAGTAATTCGCTTTGTGGCAAATTGTTGGCACCATACTGACTCACTGAGTTACCTTTCATCGCAGTTTGATATACTTTTGTATACCTCACACAACCAAGCATTAATCCAGGTTTATGTCTCAAGTCGTCACACTGCACAAGAAAACATCGAGGTCAACGCTTCTTCTCACGCACTCCTCAATAATGCACAAGGTGTGTAGGGTGTCTACCAACCTGGAAAACTTAAAATATTTAAGAAAGGCGGATTATGTTTAAAGAACAGGGTAATATAAAGGGAACCGTAAAAAAGTTCCTAATCAGTAAAAATGATAAGCGAAAGTGGAACGGCAGCGTGCAACGAAGCCCGATGATTGCACAAGGATTTCACGGTGGTGCCGCTGCACTGAATAACGTTGCCCGACACGTCACTAGGCAGCGCAGGCCACTAGGCACTCCCTGAACCGAAGTAACAGTCAACATTTTATCGAATTACAGAGGAAAACCTTGGGAAAATTGGGAAATTTGGAATAAGTGATTTGGTAGACACCCTGTCCCATCATTCAGTGAGCAACGTCATCTAGCACTATACAGCGAGGGTCGATTGAATCTAACATATTTTACTTAGAACGAAAAAATTAGTCTTGCATGCGTGACACTGAAATTTTGATTTTGATTCATTGAAAATTCAAGTTTATCTAGCTGAACCTATACGTTTATTGCACTGTCTGAGCATGCGAAACAAACTTTTACACTTTATTTAAAGTATGATAGATTCATTTGGTCATCGCAGTAGACAGTTTGGGCAAAGCGTGTGATAATTTAGAGGTATGTACTCGCACAATCCGGTATGCCAGCGTGATCGTTGAATGCAACACGTACGACAAACTAAAGGGACTTCCTGTGGGCATAACGCAAGTGTTGTCTCATCTGCACAGCCTCTGGACTCGTTGCTGGGTTTTGCGTCTCACAGCTGCATCAAGGAGCTCAGTATTTTTTTTTACGGGCGAACCAATGAAGCCTCACCCTTGTAAACAAAGCAAATAAATCACCATAGACATCCTCACTGCAGAGTGTCAGCAGCTTTTCGACCTTCTCATGAAGAGTGATGCAAAACGTCTTTCCAACGCCTTCTTTCAAAACAAGACTGTCAACTGACGACACAAAAACCTTCTCACAAGATTGAACGAAAGAAACAAAGCAAGGTGAGGGGACCGAGAGGCTTCCAAAGTCTCCTTCAGCCGTTCCTTTCACACTCAAATACAACAACACTTGGCTGTCATCAGAAAAAGTGGCATTCTTGATTTGTAATTTACATTGCTGAGCCACGTTTTGACATGTGTGATATTTGACAAACCTTATTACAAGCCATCCAGCAAAGTAAACCATGTTGTTAAGTGATAATAAAGTGGGAAAACTACAGGATGTGAGGTCAGCTGCACATTGTGGAAGTGAGCTTCCTAGACTAAGTGAAGCTGAGGGAGCTGAGAAACCAACTGGAAGAGCGGCTAAAAGAGTTGCCATGTCCTCTTCGCAGTTGCTCTTGTCAGACAGTTTAAACAAGTTGCTAACTAGGAGATGTCTGAAGGCTGCCTGAAACTGCCGGCAAGAGGAATTGGTGTTCTCACCAGACTTTGACCTTATTACGGAGAATGTGTTTTCGAGTGCATCTTGGTTGAGATGGCGAGTCAGAAGGTATCTGAAACCATACTCAGATGTCAGGTGCTCACAAATCAGCATAATAGACCGAATGGTCAAGGAGAAACCGCGAATGCAAGCAGGCTGCCGTGGGCACCGAAGAACGGTAAGGCTCTCGAACATATGAAGGCATTCTTTCAGAAACTCCTTGTGAACAGAGCCTTCGTGCATTGCAGACACATATGCACTCTTCCTGCGTTTCTGTGAGCCGCTCAAGCTATCAAAAAGACGAACCATTTTTTCAATAAACCGGGCCGTGTGGATAGCTTCAACTGGCAGTTGCTGGAAAGTTACCATGGCAAACATTGCAGCAGCACAGTGATTACTGAGTATTTGCGCTGCTAGTTTCACTGACATTTTGGAGGCAAAAGTGAAATTAAAATGCTTCTTACTGAGCCTTGGCATGGATCGGATTTCAAGCTGTTTGTCTTTTTCGTAAGCCTCCCTGAGGAAAGAGCTTCTCAGTGTGGTCCCCAACTACAAATGGAAAAAAAAGTGGCTTCACATTCACATTTACGTAGGGCTTCTCAGCGGTAACAAGGCCATTAAAAAGAGCAATATTTTGATTGCCTTGGTCACATACGACAGCTACTGGCTCCAGGCCGGCTTTCACAAGCAAACTGTGGCACTGTAAAAGAAGGTCACGCAAAATGTTGGCAGGTGTTCCCCCATGAGCAAACAAATAGCCAAGTGGCTGCTTCCATGGCGTGCGAATGCCTTTAGCCATAAACACAAGAGCTTTGTTTGCAAGGTTATAGCCTCTTCCAGTGTTACTTTCTTCGAGCCCTTCAAACCTGTCCACAGAGGGGTTGTACGAGAGCTCTTTCGTGACATGCATCTCGTCAAAGGCAATAATGCATGGCTTGTCTTCTGGTGAAAAAGAAGCTGCACGTCTTTTGACTAGTTCGAAAACTTCTGGGTAAAAACCAACCCTCAGAGTAACACGCTGAAGCCAAAGCTGTAGCCACCTAACAGATGGGAGCCTCAACAATTGCCCACAGTACCGGTAACTCTTAGGGCTGTGAAAGTACAAGCCCAAGGCAAAGGCTTTGTTCTGGCTGCACCGCCGCCTACCGAACCTGCTCGCATTGGTCATCTTCAGCTGAGCTTCCACAAGGGCAGCGACGGCTGGAGAGACAAGGCTACGTACACTTTCAACTATCTCAGTGACAGTCAGCATATGAGGCCGTCGCCGCAGTCGTTGCTGGAGTCTCTTGTTATGTTTCCGAAGCTGTCGAAGTCGGGCCCTCAACACGTTCATCTTCCCTTGCCCTCGGTGCGGGTGGCACAGGACATTACAAGGGGAAAGCAAAAGCAATTATGAAACATTTCGAGAAATAATGAAATAAACAATGTGCCTCACTGTAGAAAATGTGGAAGTACAAGTAAACTTTGTGCATCATGACGGACACCTATGTTGGTGAGGAACCGCAGAAGTCGAAGACACCGACGCATCATAATCGGTAGGGGAAGGTTCAGGTGCCCACACATCGTTTCCTCCAGACGGCGGGCCATGTCCATCCATCGCGCCTTGTATCGCGTATGTGTGATCCACTACAAGAAACAAAACAAAGGAAACAAAGTGACAAAGTGGTTGCAAAAACCTGAACCAGCTATGACTGGTCAAGTACTACGCAACAAAGTAATCTTCAAAGACTGCCCTAAACAACGCACACTATGAAAACTTACCATGAACTCTGGTTGGAGGGCTAGTCTTCGTGCCAGAGGTCAGAGCCGTGAGACTGCTCCCCACATCTGCAAAGCAAGGACGAGGCAATTAAAAAATCTGTCAGAAACATCAGTCATTGTATTGTTTCAGGAAATTCCTGCGGCATGTGACAAGCTGTAGCCCGTTGCAACCTAAGAACGAAGGGCGAGGGTAGGACGGGCCGGAGAGGAAGAAGCAGACGGAACGCTGGAGAAGAGAGAGGAAAACCTCCTTCTCTCTTTAGCGTTCCGTCTGCTTCCTCCTCCCCGGCCCGTCTTACCCTCGCCCTTCGTTCTCAGGTTGCAGCGGACTATAGATTAAAAACATGGTCATACATGTTTTACATGTTTCCCAAAGATGGCTACTACACGACAGGCCGAAATATATGAGAAACAAGGCCTGCAACACTTCCCCGCCAATATGCAATTGCTTTTACCTTCTTCTGTAGTGTGGTGCGTGTGACACCGTGATGATGTGGGCCCATCGGTGCTACTGCTGCTGGCCAGTGTGGGCTCGCCCTCGCTAGTCGATTGGCCAGGGCTGCTGCTCTGGACGGCATCTCCGGCACCTATGCAAAGTTAAGCACACACGTCATGTACACTAAAAAAGTTCCCTGTATCTGCATGTAAAATACTTTCTGAATAAGCTCATCTTTTCAAAGTTGGTCAAAAGACCAACTTTTCAGAGAGCTGCGTGTAGTGAAGATATCTGATCACTATGCTTTCAGACTTAGCATAAAGTATAAACAGCAATGTCGCGAGTTAAACAGTTTTTTCTTGTCATTATCATCACTTCGAAAAAAAGCTGCAACATATTGCACCCGTCACTCCGATGTTTGGGCAGTAGAAACGTGACGAACAGATTATGGCCTCCAAATGATTAAAATAACCTTGCCAACATTACTGAACACTCTTAAGGGCTCTAATTTTGATGTCGAATCTTCCAATCTGTGTGCGCTTAAGGATTATTTTCTTTCTAATTAAACAATCCTTACTGCTGTTGATTAGCTAGAAGATTTTTGCTTTTGTTTCGTTAATATTTTGTTGTTAAGTATTTTGTATTATATAAATTATTGTGTATGACTTCCCCAGTGCTGTGTACCTGTGGGGGGCTGAGGACCAGTCAAGCTGCTTGCACAGCTTTTTTCCTCAGCTCCACCATACTTGTATGGTAAAATAAAGTCATCATTATTCTCAGTAATAATGAAAACAATATTTCGTGCTCACCCTCAGTGGTCAAATATGCTGGTATTGCATCAAGACGCAGCCTTCCTCAGTAAAGAAATGCAGAGGGTTTGAAGTACCTGGAGCATACCGCCAGTTCCCGCAGCTGCTGTGGTGTCTTGTTCTGTAGGCTTGTGTTCCTGCAGAACTCAACCCAGACCGTCCGCCTGAATGTGAAGCAGTGTATTACTTTACATACCCTTGGCTAAAGTGGACATTTAAGAAAGAAAAGATTACACAATAATGTTAGCGATAAACTAGTCACATCATTGCACTTGGTCTCCCGTCTGGGTCCAGCGAACGCCATGAGCGCGGAGCACACCTCTGTGCCCGTGAGGTTAGATAGGTCCACAACGCAGACGATTACATTACTAGATTCCCGAGCACGACACCCAAGTAGACCTGATAGTCGCCAGCACGTTAGAGGGACGACACCAAACACGTTTCATGCAGAAAGGACGTTCTAGTGTTATTCACACCATAATATAAAAGTTCGTTAAAACTGAAATGTTCAGTCATTGTTTCTTGTTAGGTTTTTGGGGTCACGCAGCCGTTTAGCAGAGGTCAAGCAAAGCCGCCACTAATATCTAAGATTAGTTTCGTCTCGCGAAGCTTGGAACGGAGACTGGGCCCAAAAAAGCTCGATCAACGGGTGCTTATTACTAAATGAGCATGCATGAGGGCCCATAGAAGAGGTCAAGAGCTTACCAGACATCACCGGACAACTGACATCAGGGCATCACACATTGTTGCAGCGGACAGAGCTGCTACAAGCTTCACCTTACAGCGTCTACAGGAAAACGATGGAGTGTGATGCCAGCGGTGCAGTCATCACTTGGGCATCGCGCTACCGCGCAGCGCCTCTTTACATGGGGCAGGCGCATCGTCCCGACGACAGAGCCTTGAACGCGCCCGTCCGGCGCTCGACGACAAAAGCAACAGAACGGCGCAATAAGATCCAACTAGTAGAGACCGTTCGTGGGAAAACTTAAGACCACGAAGTTGTTTTAAACTATTGCAAAAAGTGAAAGTTCGACGGGAACTACAGAAATGTAGGCACACTGGCGAACGCAAACAATGCAAACACGAGGCGTATCAGGACTGCGAACTTCTGCCGACGGCGAAAAATAGCGACGTTGTAGATGTCGCAACAAGTATGCACAACATAATACATATTGAACATAACCTGAAAAATCCACCACTCTAAACATGTTTAAACTAAGTTATTATTAATAAATAATACTTTGATTTAAAGTCAACTATATCAGACACTGAAAGTGTGTCTTTAATATTTTATCAGCTTAGTGTTTGGCCGCGCAAAACATAGTCGCGCTGTGGTAGCGCGGCCTCCAGGGTGATGACGCTAACGATTGGTTTTGGGCCGCTTTTTTGCTCCACTTTCGCGACCTATATGAATTGACCTTGTAGATTACTCTATGGCACGGAGCCCATTCTGCGTCCGCTCCTATCGGCAGCCAGAAACAAAATGTCGGCCACTTCCTCCCTGCTAACTTCCTTGACTGCCCTTAAGTCTTTTATACTGACCATTTGAGCGCGCAAGCTTGTCGTGTATCAGCACGTCAGTTCTTCACAGTCACTGGGTCATTTGGGCGACGAGGCAAACCGCATGAAAGCGACGGGAACAAGCGGCAAAGGCGATGAGCGACGTTTCCTAGAAATTAAAAAACGCGAGCGACGCGACAGGTGGCCGTGAGAAATCGCCGTCGCCTCGCCGCTGTCTCCGCCTCTAGTCTCGTCGCTCGCTAAATCGATTACATGCTGTTCAGCCTTTATAACGAATGCGGTCGCCGTCGGCGAGAGAGTGCTTTCTTGGCGTCTTCCGCGGCGAACGAAGGCTCTAATTGACGCAGAGTACGACGGCCGCTGCTCTCCTTTCGCGTGCTCCGCTACAAAAATACACGCAAAATTAATACCGCGTGAAGCCTGCATCTTAATCTTTGTAGTACACTGACGGATGCTCGTGTTTTTGGGGAAGATATAAGCAAACTCAGAGAGACTCGTAGAATGCCAGAACAGTTTATTTTTCATTAGTCCCAAAGCTACATACACTATTTACGACGCACATAAACGGTTGTGACAGCGCACTGTAATGACCGAAGACAGCTCAATCAATATCATTCATCCACCGAGCACACGCAAACCGTGAAGAAGTTCTCAGTGTTTAGTAGGAGGAGGTGGAAAAAAGATTCTTGGACGACAAAACCCAATCCAGTTACAGCGGCACTGGCTCGTGAGAACTATCCTCGTAGTAGTCCAGGTTCATGCACACACTCGCCAGGTCGAGCGCACGAGCGTTAACTATGCACTCCAACACGGGAACACGAGAACTGCACACTACACAAGGCAAAAACGGCAGGTTCACATCGGAGAAACTAGCGTCATGCGACCTCCGACTGGCTCCAACTTGCTTGCCGTACAATGTTGCCAAGCGTTTCTTGTAAAAGAAAAACACGTTTTAAAAAAATACAAAAAAGACAAAAATATAAAAAAAAACAGAATGAACTTTTCCTCTTTTCGAAAACGTTTTTAGTATGTGCTACGTGGCTATTTTCATCCCAGTTAAACCGAAATGAAAATATAAACGCTCAGAAACAAATGCAAACGAGAAGGAATATAAGTAAGCCGCATGGCCTTTGCATCAACAATGGCTGCTGCGCTCGCTGCAGCGCTAGCTTACAAGTCGTGCTGGTACGGAGGCTGCGATCGTTATAAAGTCAGCTCCAACCCTTAAACATGTCCCTTCATACAATATTTGACGCTACGATTGCGTGTGGATACCTACCCCTGCAATTCAAAGCAGCAAGTACGTGGCTAACACTGGCAATCGGGTATGAAGCAAGTGCCGCCATTTTCTTCGCGCCCTTGCGGTAGTAAATCGCTAGTAAAAAGGTAGTAATAGTCAGAAAAAGGTAGTAATGGCTGCATTTGGTCATTTTTACTGCCTATCGCGCGTTTGAGGTAGTAAATTGTTAGTGAAAGGTAGTAACGTTAAGAAAGAGGTAGTATCTGCTGCAGTTACTAACTTTTTACTAGCTTTTTTTGAGACTGAACTCTTTGGAATCCATCTGTGTGGGCTTCCGCTTCCAGTTATGGGATTATCTTCGAAGGTGCTCGGGTCTTTGCCGCCGGGACAAGGCCGCCGGGACAAGGCCGCCAGGCAGCTCGTGTTTTTGTCGAGGCCACACGTGGGGAGTTTTTATTTTTATGCTTTGCTTGGGGGTAGCTTGGTCCAAGTAGGAAGTGACTTTCCCCGACCTCGACCACGGAGCCCTGGCAGGGGATTAGTGCTTTATACTTTGGGCATTTTTACAGGTGAAAATACATTTGTGTTCTTTGCTCTATGTTCTATGAAGGTTGGCCTGCAACGGCATGCGATGGCCGCGGCATTGTCGCTGTAAGTGGAGTGTTGTGAAATACATTGGGCGGGGGGGGGGGGGGGGGGGAGGAACCATAGGCCTAAAAAAACGGTTTCGGCGGGAGGCGGGCAGTCCACGGAAGACTTTCTTTGATTTACTTTTCTTTTAATCTCACTCACTCAGTAGGGCGGACCCCCCGGACCGGCAGTAAGGTCGGCTAGTCTCGTTAGTCGAAGATTTTGGAAAATTTTTTGGGCTGCTTTTTCGGCGTTAGCCCGTAGCGGCGTGCGTGCCTACGAGCGTCGGTCTTACTTTTTCGGGGCGTGTGTGTGTGCGTGTGCGTGTGCGTGCGTGCGTGCGTGTGTGCGTGTGTGCGTGTGTGTGTGTGTGTGTGTGTGTGTGTGTGTGTGTGTGTGTGTGTGTGTGTGTCTGTGTGTGTGTGTGTGTGTTCCGGTGCTGCACCGCAAATAAGCCACTCTTGCCAGTTTGAAGCAGGGTCAGTGACTTATCTGTGGCTTATTTGCGGTGCCCCCAAATGCTACCTTCAATGATAAATCAGTGCCGGCAAATTCAGAGCTGTTTGTTAAAAGTAAAGAAGACGTGGTAGTGTCAAACGGAAGTGTGTAAGACTTTGGACAATGAAGAAATGACCGCCACTTTAAACAGAAGCAGGAGTGTGCCGCGGTCTTCATTTGAAATGTAGTTTCTAGTAAAAGATGACAAGGTAGGGTTCCCTTTCAGTGTAGTATTTAATAAAATGGGTCTTGGCAGAAAGTACTCGCGGTCTTCATTCAAAACTGTTTGGGACATATCGCTTCGAAGGAAAGCATTGTCCTCGGAAACTCTGAGGAGTATTTGGAGAGTCTTTCTCCATTGCATCGGAGCGCTGGCACGGTAGTGTCTTTGGATATAAAGGATT